ATCAGGAAAATAGCTGGAACATTTTCTTGCTGCAGACAGCTGGATGTTGCTAATTTAGCTGCTTTAAGGCGATGGGAGCATGGGGGAAGGAGAAGCAAGGGTTTTTATTTTGCCACACCTGTAAATTCAAAGAAAAGGAAAGCAACATAGGCATTAGTAAGCAGAGCAAATGAAATGAATCTCTCCCTGCATTCCTCAAAGAGCAGATCTATTCTGACTGGCCTGAAGAAACCAGCAAACTTTCCTTTCAGGTTGTATATACTAAAATGGATCTAACTAAAGTATTAGTTTAAGCAGCAGCCTACATTTTCCTGTTTACATAGTTTTATTGAAATATATTCATATACTATAGAGTTCACCCAATTAAAGTATACAAATCAATGACATTTAGTATATGTATAATAATGTCATTGTATTCGATCTCATTTTAGTCACATTCAAGTAATTTACCTTTAGAAAAAATGGTTGAATAGTTTGTGATATAAGTAAATAAACACACAACACATAATATAAAAACAGAAAGATGTTTAAGGCAATATCAAACTTCTCAGTGTAAAATGGGTATGCCTAAGGTAGGTATGTATTTTGGTGACTTAAGAAAGACATTTTCCATCCCTAACATCATTTTGTAAGGTCTAACCACTTGACTTGGGTTATTTTTCAAAAGTGATTTCTGCAAAATGCAAAAGGAACCATTTGCCCTGTCCTTCAATTCATACATTTTCCTTATCCTTAATTTTTTTCTTGCAGAATATTTCTGGCCATATCTAAAGCCATTCACCCTCTTCCTTACCATGCTTACCTCCATCTCCAGCTTTCTGCACCAGTGGACCATACAGTACCATATTTGCTAACAGTAAATATTTATAGCTCCTCCAGTGCAAAAAAAAAAAAAATGCATTAAAAAGGAAACAGGACAGAAAAATGGAGCACCTTTCATTATCTATTAGACATAAGTCAAATTCATTAAAATTGGTAGTTTTAAGAGAGTTTTTTTTCCCCTAAACTTGACCAAAGTAGGGAGACTGCATAGTTTTCCCTTTTGATTTTCACTTTGATTCCTGGGGAAGAGGTCTGTAAGATGCTGCTGTGTATAGGATTTTATAGAGAGGCAATGAAAAAACTTAAAGGAAACCTGCCTTATCAACCAGCAAATTGTTGACAGTCTGTGGCTCAAATAATTTTAGCATAGTCCTAAAACAAGTGCTCAATAAAAACGTTAGCTGAATGCCTTCTGAATAATGATATAACAGGTAATGTGCGTTAACACCTACCATGTGTCACCTGTGATCTATGTTTTTACATTATTCCTCTCACAGCCCAAGAATAGGCCCTATACTTTACTATCATCATCATTATCACCACCACCATCCTATGTTTTATGGATAGGGCTACTGAGGCAAGTAACATGATATATACCCTGCTTCAGAATACAAAATGACAGAATTTAAAGTAGACTATGGTTTCAGAGCTCACTTTCCTAACTATTAACCTCTTGAGTTCATCAGGAAATAATTAAAGAGTGGTTACCTTACAGCTTAGATTCAGTCTATTCTCCAAAGCCAAAGATATAAAGGCGGTTCTACTGGATATAGTGATTTTATACCCAATGGGAACTAATAATTACTTTCATATAGAAGATAAATATGCAGATAGACAGGGACTACAGGAAGATTTCATAGAAATACATAGGCAAAATGAAGGAAAGATCACCATCTGAAATGGAAAAATGGAGAACATGCAATAGAAAATGGATGAACTACACTATACATAGAAATAAACTATGAATAGTTGTGTTTCTAATGGAGATTCAATAAACACTCAGGTTCAATTATAGCGGATTTAGTATAAAGATCTAGACTACAACAGTAAGCAGTAAGTGATTTCATTAGAGTGAAACTGGTTTGATGGAAGAAGGTGCTAACAGCTGACCTATGCCTGCGTGTAGTTAAAAAACAAAACCCGGGCCTCCCCAGTGGCGCAGCGGTTGAGCGCTGGGTTGCGAAGCTGCCCGCGGCCTCTGCGGCACCGGTTCGATCCCCGGCTGCTCCCAGCCACCGGAGGAGGGTCCCACATGGCGCGCAGACCTCTCCTGCCGCCCGCTGCTCCCCTCAGCAGTGTCCTTCGGTCCTTCTGCCTGCTCTGCTCCCCGCTCTGGCTCTGGTGAATTCTCTCACCCTCCCGCGCTTCTGACTGTACCCAGTGCTTGTATAAGTAAACAAACAAATAAAATAAATAAATAAATAAATAAAAACATGCCTCTATAAATAAACAAACAAACAAACAAACCTTCAAATGACTGGTAAATAGCAAACTAAAGTTACATATAAATTATCCAAGATTCATTCTTTTGCATGTAGCGACCCAGTTTTCCCAGCACCATTTATTGAACAAACTTTCTTTGCTCCAATGCATAGTCTTTGCTCCTTTGTCAAAGATTAGTTGACCATAAATCTGTGGGTTTATTTCTGGATTTTCTATTCGATTCCATTGGTCTGTATGTCTGTTCTTGTTCCAATACCATGCAGTTTTGATGATTATGGCTTTGTAGTATAGTTTGAAGTCTGGGAGTGTGATGCCTCCATTTCCTTCTTTTTTTTTCAGTAGAGCTTTGACCACTACCTCACACCATACACAAAAATCAACTCAAAATGGATTAAAGAACTAGACATAAGACCTGAAACCATAAAATACATAGAAGGAAATATAGGCGAAACACTACGGGATTTGCACATCAAAGACATCTTTACAGACACATCACCCAAAGCAGTGATAGTGAAGAGAAAGATAAACAGCTGGGACTACATCAAATTAAAGAGCTTCTGCACAGCAAAAGAGACAATAACAAAAACAAAGAGAAACCCCACCAACTGGGAGAACATTTTTGCACCCAACACTAATGATAAAGGACTGATCACAAAAATCTGCAAAGAGCTGATGAGACTCAGCAACAACAAAGAAAATAATCCCGTCAAAAAATGGGCAGAAGAGCTAAAAAGAAACTTCTCTGAAGAGGAAATGCAAATGGCCAACAGACATATGAAAAAATGTTCAACATCACTTGTAATCAGGGAAATGCAAATCAAAACTACCATGAGATACCATCTCACACCAGTGAGAATGGCACATATTAAAAAAACTAGCAACAACAAATGTTGGCGAGGATGTGGAGAAAAAGGAACTCTCCTGCACTGTTGGTGGGAGTGCAAACTGGTCCAACCACTATGGAGAGCTGTGTGGAGATTTCTGGACCTACTAAACATAGAGCTTCCATATGATCCAGCAATTCCACTCCTAGGTATTTACCCAAAGGACACAGAAACATCAATTCCAAAGAGCACCTGCACTCCTATGTTTATAGCAGCACTGTTTACAATAGCTAAGCTTTGGAAACAACCCAAATGCCCAAAAATAGATGACTGGATCAAGAAGATGTGGTACATATATACCATGGAATATTACTCAGCATTCAAAAAAGATAAACACATGCAATTTGCAGCAACATGGATGGCACTGGAAGGGATCATGCTCAGCGAAATAAGCCAAAAAGAAAAAAGAAAATACCGGATGGTCTCACTCATAGCAGGAATCTAGAAAACTTAAATAAGGGACCAGGAAAATGAATATAAGAAAGTGAAAATCAAAATCAACAAAAAACTATGAACCAGAGACACTTTTGGGGGGTGAGGGGCGGGAGGGGAAGGATTGGGGTCAGAATGGGTGTTTGCAATTGTATGGGGGAATATAAAAATAAAATTTAATATTTAAAAAAAAAAATGTTTGGGAGGATAGACACTAGGTGTTAACAGTAAGCAATGTGAGAATATATTGTTTTTAGGAATATAGTGTTTAAAAATGTTTTTGTTACATGTATTTTCTAATTTTCTGCAAATGGACTCTAAAAATGCATTTACACTGCTCTTTAGTAATAAAAAGTTGCATTCAAAAAAAAAATAAAAAAATAAAAAAGGAAACTAAAGTTATTATAGCTGTAATCTGAAATAAATATTATTGAAATATAAAAAAAAAAAAAATAAAAAAAAAAAATAAAATAAAATTATCCAAGAAAAATATTCACTCCAGAAATACACTAAATAATCTAAACGCATCTCGGATTTGCATGTATATCATCACTGAATGAACCACAGTCAGAGCACTCCAGAAAACTGGCTGAATTGACAAGAGAAGAAGCTACTGTTAGTGCTCAAACAAAAGTCACATTTGACTTTTGCATGAGACCACAGCTCTACCATGTGTACGTGCATTCAAGAAAACAACAAGCAAAGTCATTTTGAGCATTCAAGACATAGGAATGAAAAGAAATAAGATATCTGAACACATCAAACCTTTTAAAATAATAGTGAGGCTCTGTAGGACATTTTAAATTGGCATTGGCAGGGGCTATAATTTTCTGCTAAAGATATATTATCACAATATTCAACCTGGATTTGAACCAAAGCTTATAAGCACTCTCCTAGATAATGCAACATCACACCTAACACTTTGGTATGTCATTCTACACCACAGATTATAATCCTGACTCCTTGGCTTGTTGGAAAGAATCATTTCTAAAGGCAGTAGGTTAACACATGAAATTAATATGGTAAACTGGAGTGACTTCTTTCCCTTTCACCCCTTATATTCCTCTTTTCAAATGAGGAAAACATTTTTTTAAAAGTATTTCATAGTTCTAAAGTGACTCTGACAAGCTGCTGTTAAATTTTGAAATATAACTACTGATCACTCATATGACTACAAAACACAAATTTGTAAAAGCAAGAATAAATATTAATAGATGTTCTAATAAAGGTGTGGAGAAGCCAACCAGGGACTTAGATAATAGTAGCCTGATAAATAATAATTTTATATGGTGGTCAAGAAATCAAAGTTTTCTGCAGTACTACTTCTATCTGGATTTTTTTTCAGTGCTGTTTAGGAAAAATCAATGGTCATAACGCTTATATATATAGTTTACAATATATTTATACTCTATGCTATATATATTTATAATACATGTTATATATATTTAGTTTATAATAGTTTATAAACTAGATCCTATCTTGCCAATTGTTCTTTAAACATTCTTAGCAATAATCGTGCCTCGGATAAACCTCATTGGCTACGATACTGCCACTGTGCAAAGCTGTTCTTTAAACATCCTTAATGACAAAAATTACATCCCAACTCCACCCTATGCTTTCATGAGCCATAAGTATCATATAGTGAAATGCTAAGGTATGTTTCTCTCTTCTTTTAAAATGTACTTCACACATAGCTAATTCTTCTTATTTCACCAGCAACTATCAGGCTACACATACAATTCAACTATGTCAAATGTATCTGTTAAAGGGAAAATATACTAAATCAAGGATCAGTATACATAGACAAAACTAAACAAGATTAATTTGGCAATGAAGAAACCTGCTAATGGGAAGTGTAAGACAGAATGGATTCTTTTTCACGTTTTATCCTCAGGTGGAAAGTCGATATCACATAGAGATATAACTTGGCCAATAACTGAAATTGCTAATGTGGGCTTCTTTTATTTTCTAAGACTCTACTGTGCAGGAATATGAGGAAGGAGGAAAGGGAGGGCAGAGGAGAGGAGCAGGCAGAAGAATAGGTCATGGTCATCACTGGTATAGATTGTTTAATACATATTTTAAAAGTACTTGTGCCTAAATTCTTGACATCTGTCTGCCTTTCATCAGGAAAGTAAGCAAAGGTATAGCTTCTCAGTAGAAGAAATTTTACTTCACTGGAAGAATAATTTATGCATATATGATAATTATATCTCATAATTAAAAAAAAAACCACTGTGATCGGATATTAAAGTGGTTCCCAGGTTCTTAATATGCTTTGGCCAAAAATCAACAATAGAAAACCAACTTACTTTTCATTTCAGCCAAACAGAAAAATAAAGCCATATGACTGATATCTTTAATAAACTAAATTTATATTTCAACTCTAAAATAGATTTTGACAAACTGGCCTTAAAATAACAAAACATCATTCATTTGGGCCTTTTCCCAGTTAATTACTTGCTGGCATTGCACTAGGAATTCCTTGGCTTCACCTTAAACCAACACTCCCAAGTGCTAATTAGAAGACTATATACATTAGCCAGAGAATGCCATGCTTACATCATGCATGTTCCATATGTATCCTATTATTAACATTATTCTTTCACTCTTGGAAAACTCTTGAAAACAAAGCTCCTATTTAAACAAAGAAAGAAATTGGCTGTTATTGAGGAAATTCTTGTCAAAATGCAATTAATAGGTAAGGGCCAATATGACACAGAATTTTTTTGTCTCCAAAACATCCTTCACATGAATCAAATTTAATCTCCTGAAATAGTCAGTGGAGGGAAGGTAATGACTGCATATCTTATATTTAACAGAACCAGGGGACTCCCTAAGCGAATGGCCCAAACTCTCACGTGAGCAAACCAGTACCAAGCCACCTGACATCACAGGAAACACAAGCCAGCAATGTGCCTTTCCCCAGTATGGTCTCTTCAAAAGGCCACAGGACAGGTGGGAAAAGAAACATATGTAAACAAGGCAGATCTAATGGCTTCCTAATTATTAAGAAGATAGAAGCTTCTCCTTAATTGGCAAGCTAATTGACCACAATCTCAGTTTCAAAAATTGAGTCCAATCATTCAAACTTGTCTACTCCACAGATTTCGCCTCACACTTCCCACCCCTCATCCAGTCACAAAGTTGTCAGTTCTGCTTGATTTGTTGAATACTGTACTCGACGACAGCTGTCGGAAACAGTACATTAGAACAGCTGCTGTGACAGTGCAAGGGGCTGGGGAGTTTAATTGGGCTCAATGTGACACTGTGCATTTTTCTAAACATAGAAATATCCACCAAACTAAGGAAATTTCCAACGGTCTGACCATGTTTACTTTTGGCAATACCAACTGGTTAACCCCAGTTTGAATTGTATCATTGGTCTCATAATATCTTGGCTTCAGGGGTGGAAGAGTAAAATAAAGAAAATGAAAAAAAGGTAGGAACTGTTAGATAGACAAAAAAAGGGGGGGGTGCATTAGGGGAGAGAGGAAATAATAAGGAAGTCACATCAATAATCTCTTTCAAAGACTGGTTAGTAGCCAAGGAGGATCCCACCGTGTCCAGAATTTACTTCCAAAGAAATGTATTCAGAGGCCCTGAGCCTGGTGCCAACTGCAAACAAAACCACTCATTATGGTCACAGCCCCCTGGAGAAGGGGAGGAATGGCTTACTCTCGGCATCCGCGTGGAGGAGGAAAGCGAGCAGCAGCAGCAGCGGCCTGGCTATGTGCACCATCCTTGCCTTTGCAGCAGCGTGCACTGGCAGCTTGGGGTCACTGCCTGTGAAGCTGCAGCGGGTCTATCTGATCTGAAGTTTCAGCTGGAACCCTTTCAGAGCCTGTAAGGGGAAAAGCAGAGAAAAGAGAGGAGAAAACAAAAAGTTATTAGATTACTCACATTTTCCTCTTGTCCCATCACAATCACCATGAGACACAACCCACAGTGAATAAATCGTAAATTATAACCATGATGTCTTTGTGTTAGGAGGGAAATAACTTGATTGTAAGCGGTAGCCATCCTAGCGTATCTTGTCCCATTTTCAGACCATCCTAAAGCCAATCACCTCGAATTTCACTCTCTGCTTATGCACCCTTTGGGCAAACCACTGTGAGAAGAAACTGTCGCTTCTTATGAAACAGTACATGAATATATGGGTGGAAGAAAGCATACCAATGCTATAGGAAAGATTTAAGAGATGCTCCATGTTATGGGATAAAAGTCTATTATTGAAAGACTAATGGAAGCTGCTTTCACAGCATCAAATGCAATGACACAGCTAATTCAACTTCTCCAGTTAAATAGTAGAGGTTCATTTTTTTTTTTTTTAATACTAGTACACTTGGCTTCTTCCCTTAAGACATATCAATGTTCAAGTCTAGTTTGATTTCCGTAAGTCAAAACAATAGTTACCACAATCGTGTTTGATTTAAGAGGACTCTTAAATGTCTGTGCAAGGGGTTAGTTTTCTCAACACTCTATGAAGAACAGAGAAACAACAAAACTATTTTGGAGTTCCCTACTGTGTGCAAGACATCAGAGATTTCACGTAGTACAAAGT